CTCCCTTTCTTCGGCGACATTTAAGTTCCTCAAAATATTCTCGCGATCTACCCAAAACCTCCATCTCCCCATCTACTAACTCCCCTTCTCTGTTTTTAGCTGATAAATCCATTTGTTCCCTTGGCTTTCTTAACTTGTTTAACTCACTATAAAAAATTTTCTTATTTTCATTAAAATTCCTTGACAGTACCTCTCACACTCTATCATCTGCTCTCCTTTTGCGCTCTCTCACCACTCTCTTCACCTTTCTTTTACTCTCCACATACTATACTTTTCCATAAACACTTCTGCTTTGTAAATACCTCTCATAAGCTACCTTTTTCTCTTTTATCACACCCTTTACTTCATCATTCCACCAATCACTCCTCTTTCCTCCTGCACCCACCCTATTATAACCACAAACTTCTGCCCCACATTCTAATACTGCATTTTTAAAACTATTCCAACCCTCTTCAACCCCCCCCCCATACTCATATCTGCACCAGCCCACCTTTCTGCCAATAGTTGCTTATATTTCACCCGAACTTCCTCCTCCCTTAGTTTATACACTTTCACCTCCCTCTTACTTGTTGTAGCCATTTTCCTCTTATCCCATCTATCTCTTACTCTAACTGTAGCTACAACTAGATAATGATCCGATATATCAGTTGCCCCTCTATAAACATGTACATCCTGGAGCCTACCCATCAACCTTTTATCCACCAATACATAATCTAACAAACTACTTTCATTATGTGCTAAATCATACCTTGTATATTTATTTACCCTCTTTTTCATAAAATATGTATTACTTATTACCAAACCTCTTTCTACACATAGCTCAATTAAAGGCTCCCCATTTTCATTTACCCCTGGCATCCCAAATTTACCTACTACTCCCTCCACATTTTTTCCCCACTTTAGCATTAAAATCCCCAACCACAAGTACTCTCACACTTGGTTCAAAACTCCCCACGCAATTACTCAACATTTCCCAAAATCTCTCGCTCCTCTATACTTCTCTCTTCCCCAGGTGCATAAACACTTACTATAACCCACTTCTCACATACAACCTTTATTTTACTCCACATAATCCTTGAATTAATACATTTATAGTCCCTCTTTTCCTGCCATAGCTTATCCTTCAACATTATTGCTACCCCTTCTTTAGCTCTAACTCTATTAGAAACCCCCGACCTAATCCCATTTATTCCTCTCCACTGAAACTCACCCACCCCTTTCAGCTTTGTTTCACTTAAAGCCAGGACATCCAGCTTCTCATTCATAACATTCACAATCATCTCTTTCTTATTAAATGTATACAATGTATATACTTGGTCAGCACATCCCCTATCCTTCTTAAACCCCATTTTCTTTGTGATCCTACTTTCTGTCTTGTCCCATCTCTTTCTAATAATTCTACCATGCACTTTACCTGGTATATTTAACAGGGTTTTTCCCTATATATCTTACACTTTTAAAAAAAAGTCCCCTTTTTCCTTATGCAAAGGCTGCATGTTAGGTAAAAGGACACAGGTGAAACTAATGTGACATTTTATTGTGGCAATGTTTCACTCTCTGGGAGCTTTGTCAAGCCATTACAGCTTGACAAAGCTCCTGGTGAGTGAAACATTGTCACAACAAAATGTCACATTAGTTGCATGTGTCCTTTTACCTAACACACTGTCGGTAGTTCTACCATCATTACCAAAGGATGCATGTTCTCTGATAATCCTTGGATACTTTCCCTTTCATATATATGTTGAACAAATACATACACCAACTACAGTACTTCAAAACTAAAAATAAATAATAAATGCTTTACTTCCACATGATACAGTACGTAGTTTTTTTACAAAACTGGATGACATTTAATAATATATATGGAAAGCCCCTGGTTACTTTACTTAATCTGTTTTAATCCCATCTATCCCAGCTGATTTACCCACTTTGTTCTAACCACTGTCTCAGATGCTTACCCTATATTCATCTCTGGAGCTTTTTTACTCCTATTAGATATTATCCCTCCCTGCCTAAGGTACGGTATTATGGTCCTTCTTTTACCATCAGTATTTAAAAACTCAAAATATTCTCTTGTTTTTTACAGTACCTCTCCATCTAATATCTTCTCTTCTTTCATTATTACCTGCTGAGTCCATTTGCTCTTCAGGCTTTCCCATTGTATTAAGATATCCAAAGCTGTTATATATTCTTAGCAAAATTTGCTGATAAAAGTCTTGCATAGTCTTCCAATGGTTCTCTTGCACTCCCTCACCAATTATTTTTACATTGTATATTCTCTCCACATATTCTGGGTTTTGAATAGCATTTTTACATTTAAAAAGCCTCTGATATATTTAAAAAGCCTCTGATATGCTTACATTTACCACTCTGTCATCCTCCACCAATCATCCTTCTTCCCACCGCACACCAAAAAAAAAAAAAAAAGGAATCCTGTACACTAACTTACAACACTTTTGGAATTCCCAGTTTTGCATAAGCACATAAGTGTTGCTAAAGCATCTAGGATACAGTACTCATGGCCTTCTCAACTGTCAATATCACATATTTCTATTAATGTACTATCCAAGTTGCTAGTTTTAAACAATCTCACCCTTAGCATTATACTAGATTTTCTACCATCAAGAGCAAGTCAAAAATCTATTCAACACAATTTACCTTAGAAGTAACCTACACAATCATTGTATCTCTGCATTTATGTCCAAACTTTCATTACACTTTACCCCTCAAGGAAGGTTCTTTGATGCTGGTGAGGGGCTCTTGATCTAGGGAATTGGATCTGTGCTCTGGTTCCCTGAATTGAGTCTGAATACCTTCCATCCCTCCCCCATATGTGCTGTATAATCCTACAGGTTTAGCTCTCCCCATGATTATAATTATAATAATCATTACACTGATTGGTAATCACATGAAATTGTCAGGTAATTAATGAGATTTATATTACATACAAGATATATCCTCAAAGTATTTTTGGAAGCAGAGGTACCATAACTTTTCAGGAATAAAATATAATCAACCAAAATTACAAAATCACTTCTCACTCTCACCTGCAGTCACATATACAATCACATACACAGCTTTGCACTTTTTTTTTTATTTTTGGCTCTTGCAAGACCATAAAGCCCTGCTTGCATGACACAAGCTCATAGTATATGTGGGCTTTCTCTTGTAACCTCATGCTTGACCTAGGTGGTTTTCTGTGCTTCACTTGTCAGGTTCCAATTTCAGTTTACCATATTCTATTGGACTGTCCTGTCTTTTAATGAGTACACAGAATTTACCTTTGATGTAGTCACCGCTCCAACACTCTTACTTTATCTTCCCTCCTTAGTGATGGCCCCCCCCTTGAGACACACTCCCTCTTTGACTTCAAAACAGCATCCGATTTATTGCACAAACTCTGATAATACTACTTCCTTTAGCACTCCTCATAGGCCTTTCTAACTATGCATCTGTTATCTTCTCCACCCTTGCTACCCTATGATCCAGCATCACCCCCTACCCTGCAGTACTGTATGACCCTAGTGGGTCATACAGCACTGCTTCAGCTGTGCTTCTTAATAATAATAATAATTATATTATAATAATTATAATACCAACGCTCTTATATGGGTGTGAAGCATGGGTGATGAATGTTGCAGCGAGGAGAAGGCTGGAGGCAGTGGAGATGTCATGTCTGAGGGCAATGTGTGGTGTGAATATAATGCAGAGAATTCGTAGTTTGGAAGTTAGGAGGAGGTGCGGGATTACCAAAACTGTTGTCCAGAGGGCTGAGGAAGGGTTGTTGAGGTGGTTCGGACATGTAGAGAGAATGGAGCAAAAACAGAGTGACTTCAAGAGTGTATCAGTCTGTAGTGGAAGGAAGGCGGGGTAGGGGTCGGCCTAGGAAAGGTTGGAGGGAGGGGCTAAAGGAGGTTTTGTGTGCGAGGGGCTTGGACTTCCAGCAGGCATGCGTGAGAGTGTTTGATAGGAGTGAATGGAGACAAATGGTTTTTAATACTTGACGTGCTGTTGGAGTGTGAGCAAAGTAACATTTATGAAGGGATTCAGGGAAACCGGCAGGCCGGACTTGAGTCCTGGAGATGGGAAGTACAGTGCCTGCACTCTGAAGGAGGGTGTTAATGTTGCAGTTTAAACTGTAGTGAAAAAGCACCCTTCTGGCAAGACAGTGATGGAGTGAATGATGGTGAAAGTTTTTCTTTTTCGGGCCACCCTGCCTTGGTGGGAATTGGCCAGTGTGTTATTTTTTTTTATTAATAAAAAATTATAATGTTTAATCAATTTAAGTGCTAAACATAAGAGGGTCATGTAGCACTGCAGGGTGGGATGTGTGAAAGGGGGAAAATGTGCAATGATGATGAGGCAGTGAAGGGTAGGAGTGTGTAAGGGCAAGGGTTAATAGGGGGTTGGGAAGAATACAAGAGGAAAAGTAAAACCACAGTTAGTACAATAAGTTATTTTCTGTTAAAAAGTCAGAGTGCATCAGAGGTGGAATTTTCAGCAAGGTCAATGAGTTAGTGTGTTAGGGTGAAAGACAACAGAAGTGAATTCTGCATGACCGCTGATAGGCTGGACAATCTATTAAGATACGCTGAACTGACAGTGCAATCCAGCAGGCCTTGCAGAGCAGTGCTGGGTTTTGTTTCACAAAGTGTCCACAGGTGGAAGATGTGGAAAGGTCAGCAAAACGTTTCCACAATAATGATACCCAGGTGCCTCAAAAGATACCCAGGTGTTGCACAAATAGTCAAACCACAGTAAACCTGTAGATGCTCATGATAAAATACCTAATTTAATAGTAAATACGGTAGTGTCACAGTTGAACAGTAAGGGTCATGTGTAGCACTAGTGGATTACTAAATACACCTGATGAAATTCAACTACAATTTGTATACATGTATAGCCCATTCAGAATAGTTTATGTAACTAAAATAAAGATAATGCATGTTTAATAGAGTGTATAACATATAACAGTATGTATATTGTGGATATTTCCACAGCTCCTCACCACAACAAGAATCGGCAGCGACCCAAGACACCAACCAAGGTAGAGGCAGCAATTAGAAAAAATCTGTCACTCGAATATGATTTCTACAACTTCATGAAGCAGAGACTGGCTATTCAATACCAACAGCTACAGAAAACCTAAATTTTGTAAGCATTAACCCTTAAACGGTCCAAACGTATATATACGTTCACGTGCGTAGCACCCCAAACGTATATATACGTTTTCTTTGTCATTCATTCAACACTGCCACGATAAGCCTGAGTCACCTAGACATGAGAGAATGGGTGTGAGCACTCACTGTGCACCATATTAAAATAATTGGGGATGCCTGGGTACCATATGCTCTTTTTTTCCTATTAAAAAAAAATATTTTTTCTCAAAAAATTTGAGGCGCTACACGAGTGAACGTATATATGTATATATACGTTTGGACCGTTTAGGGGTTAATATATCACCAGTGCATACGAAGTGACTTTATTCATGACTCACAAAATTATAACATGATTGCAAACAAACCACACGATGGGCAGGGATTAAATCCATATCCTGTTCCATGGTTTGACTTCATTCACTTCACTTTTTCTCATAAAACCCCTTGTGTCATTTACATATCACTGATTATTTGCTCTTAGAAATTTAGAGAAATGTATTTAACACACTGATAAGTATCTAAGTTACATTAACAGCAATGTGTTTTTAAGAGTTTCCCTCAAGGGAGGTTCCTTGATGCTGGTGAAGGGCTCTTGGTTTAAGGAATTGGACCTGTGCACCAAGTCTTTAAATTGAGCCTGAATACTTTCCATTCCCAGGTGCTGTATGACCCCTATGGATTTAGTGCTCCCCATGAATGTAATAATTATATTAATGGATTTAGTGCTCCCCTTCCATTAACAATTATTACATTCGTGGAATGCATTACATCCATAGGGGCAATATAGACCCTAATAAAAATATATTAAGAGCTGTGTGCTTAATACACTGATAAATCATAACTGGATTACATTAAGAGCAGTTGTTAGCAAAATAAACCAATGCCTAAATTAATGGTATTCACTCAGTGGAACTGATGAGATATTTGTACATATCCAGCAAGTACCAATAACTATCATCTGTCTGCAAAAACATATTTGTGATGTACTTTACAGTGTATATAAAGGTAAGGGATAGAGATTTTTCAGCAAAAAATAATTACACAAGTTTTGTGTAATTTACATTTACCTCCACATTACAGATGATGTTACTAGAGAGTTGAAGGAAATTTTAAATACATTATCAAAGTGAACTGTACTGTACTTGCCTAATTTTATGACACTTCACTTTCCTCAAATTTCAAGTGTCAAATATCAACTTGCAGAATGAACTATAATCCAACCCATTATGCAAGAAGCTTAAATTACAGTGGACCCCCGCATAACGATTACCTCTGAATGCGACCAATTATGTAAGTGTATCGCTGTATAGCCCTTGTGGCTTAGCGCTTCTTTTTGATTATAATAATAATAATATGTAAGTGTATTTATGTAAGTGCGTTTGTACCTGTATGTTTGGGGGTCTGAAATGGACTAATCTACTTCACAATATTCCTTATGGGAACAAATTCGGTCAGTACTGGCACCTGAACATACTTCTGGAGTGAAAAAATATCGTTAACCGGGGGTCCACTGTATAATGATGAGTTAAAGTAACTAGAGAAAATAATTTGTATGTCTTTATTATATTTGGCCCCCCCAAGGGAAGGTCTTTGATGCTGGGAAAGGGCTCTTGATTCAAGGAATAAGACCTGCTCTCCCCTTTGGATTGAACCTGATTACCACCCATTTCCCAGATGCTCTATGGCCCCTATGGATTTAGCACTTTTCCTTATATATGATAGTCAAAAACAAGAACTAAACCCATATTTGTCATAAAATTGAATAAGAGCAAGATAGGGGATAAGGACAATGTCATCCAAATAGGATTTCTCACTAAAAATGTCATAATCTTGCTATGCAAGATTCATATATAGTCATTTTTAATCCCATTTTGTTTAAAATTGAACAACCTGCTTGTCATGCATCACTCATTGCTGTTTGGTGAGGAGTCAAGCAAGCATCAAAGGGAGGCACCATTTTAGTCCTGTGGCTTCCACTTTGTTCTTATTTGGTTGTTCACATACCTCTCTCTTATCTATGGGGTAGTTTAATTAAATTTGTAATCTTCCTGGTGGCTAAAGCTCTCGCTGCAAATGGCGAGGGTCTGGGTTTGATTCCCAGTGAGGATAGAAACATTGGGCGTGTTTCTTTACACCAGTGTCCGTGTTCACCATCAGTAAAATGGGTACCTGGGTGTTAGTTGACAAGCGGCTTTCTATATAATAGTGTGTCATTGATGTCAGCTAGGGCTGTATATCATGTAGTATATATCTTTATTTACTTGTAAATAAAATTATTATTATTGTTATTATGGGTGTATGGGAAGCTGAAGTTATTTTAAGAGTATTGTTTTTGCCAATCCCAATAACCAGTTTCAAGCTGATATAAATAATGAAAGCATTTAAAGTAGCCAATGCCAGTAATGGTAGGATATGGCCAGTTTGTTGAAAGAGAATACCAATAATCAAACATTTAAACTAGCCGATACCAATACCATAATTTAAAATTAGGAGATACCTACTGATTACAATACTTTGGTACATCTTCTAGTATTGTTATAATGCTTTTGTGCTGTCTCTGACTTCATTTCTGGCTCCAAGTAGCAAAAGTGATATACAAATCATCCTTGTAAGCCCCCAATTTCTTTTTTTCTCTCTACAATCAAGATAATTACAGTACTGCTATTTCAGATCCCATGCTTGGTATGTCCTGACCTCCAACTCAATATCATAACAAGCCTCCATATTAGGTTCTATTACCTCTACATGAGGTGTTTGGCCCAATAAAATACAGCCTCTGCTCACTTAGTGACAACTCGGAGTTATAATGGGCTCTCTGACCAGTATACATACCTAAATAATGTATATTAGAGCTGATTTCCTCTATTCTGTTTATTACAATATACAGTACACTACTGTATAAACATTTAAAAATACTAATAATGTTATAAATGGTGCAAAGGTGACATTAAAACAATATCAAAGATGGTCAACACAAACTCACTACCATTACATTATGCTCCTTATTTAGCGACAAATTAGTTTACCGACGTAGTCTTTGAAACGGAGCTCCATTGTTCAGTGAGGAGAAGCTGTAGTCAAAAAATTTTACACTTCAGTCTCAGTGTGCAAAACATTTAATAAAATGTCTTAAGATGTTGCAATCTGTCATGATTCCCCATTCCAAAGATGTAATACTGATACTATCTGTAGAATTTATATTGAAAATAAAACACTATATTCTCTTTAGCTTTAATTATTAAGGAAAATATGTTGAGATGTTGTCTAGTCAGCATACAAAATATTACATACTGTATTTTTTTTACCTTAGACTTACATTAAGAGCTCCATGACAGTCGTACTATATTCCAGGACTATTAATAGTTTTCCAAGACATTATATATCTTACAAACAAATTAAGAGCCTTAGTTATATGTCATGTAACGTGGGGTTGCTGAGAATTTAGCATAAGCCTTGATAACCTTGTTGACGGCATCCAAGAAGTCCTTCTCTGTGGCTACCTTCCGACGAGCACGAATAGCGTACATACCTGCTTCTGTGCAAACTGATCGAATTTCTGCGCCTGGAAAGAGGAATAAAAATATCTAGAAACTATGTTTAGTGCTTTCTTTGATTATAATAATAATAATATCTAGAAAATATACTAGGTAAAATCCATATATTTTTTTTTCAATCACACTACTGTATTTCACTCAAAATCCTCAATTAAATAACAACACAAACATACCTAACTCTTCTCTAATATGAATGACAAGGATTAAATATGTAAATTCATCACCAGGACTTGCATGTATAGTGCTGTACAGTACTCTAAATCTAACAGTGACACATACAGTTGTCTAATAGTTGTCAAAACCTTTGTAAGATTATTAACTTTCTAATTTGTATTCAAATTACTTGCATGAGATGTACTGTTTATAACCATTTCCTTAACCAATCCTTCTGATGGTCTTTTACCATGACAAGTGCCAACTGTGAGCACCAGTTTTATGGTATGCTTCCTCACTTTTCATGATAATTCTGTTCCTAACCTTCTATTTGTGCATCAAGAGTCTCACCTTTATGTATTATTGCATTTACTGGTATTTACTTACTTTCAACAAGGGAAGCATTAAACCCATAAGGGTCTTTTAACACCTGATTTGTTATTAATGTATGCTACAAATGCTCAAATCTGAATAAGTGTGATGTCACCATGGTTGTTCAATATATTTAAAGATGGGGCTGTAAGAGAAGTGAATGCTCAGGTGTTGGCAAGAGGTGTGGGGTTAAAAGATAAAGAATCTAACACAAAGTGGGAGTTGTTACAGTTGCTCTTTGCTGTGCTTTTGGGAGATTCTGAAGAGAAGTTACAGATGTTGGTGGATGAGTTTGGTAGGGCACGTAAAAAGAAAATTAAAAGTGAATATTGGAAAGAGTACAGTGATGAGGATAAAAAAATTAGGTAACGAAAGATTGGATATCAGATTGGAGGGAGAGAGTGAGTATCAAGAAGGCGAATTTATTCAGATATTTAGAAGTGGACATGTCAGCAGATGGGTCTATGAAAGATGAGGTGAATCATAGAACTGATGAGGGAGAAAACATGAGAGGTGCACTGAGGAATTTGTGGAGACAAAGAACTTTATCCATGGAAGTAAAGAGGGGAATGTATGAGAGTATTATCATACTAATGCTCTTATATGGGTGTAAAGCATGGGTGGTGAATGCTGCAACAAGGAGGCTGGAGGCAGTGGAGATGTCATGTCTGAGGGCAATGTATGGTGTGAATATATTGCAGAGAATTCGTAGTTTGGAAATTAGGAGGTGCAGGATTACCAAAACTAATATCCAGAGAGCTGAGGAGAGGCTGTTGAGGTGGTTCAGATATGTAGAGAGGATGGAACGAAATAGAATGAATGTATATAAATCTGTAGTAGAGGGGAGGCGGGGCAGAGGTCGGCCTAGGAAAGGTTGAAGGGAGGGGGTAAAGGCAGTTTTTGTGTGTGAGAAGCCTGGACTTCCAGCAAGCATGCATGACCATGTTAGGTAGGAGCAAATGGAGACAAATGGTTTTTAGGACTTGACGTGCTGTTGGAGTATGAGCAGGGTAATATTTATGAAGGAATTCAGGGAAACCAGCAGGCTTGATGCGAGTCCTGGAGACAGGAAGTCTAATGCCTGCATGCTGAAGGAGGGGTGTTAATGTTCTATAACTGTTGTGTAAGCACGCCTCTGGAAAGACAGTGGAGTGAATGATGAAGTTTTTATTTTTTGGGCCACCCTACTTTAGTGGGAAACAGCCAATGTGTTAATAAAAAAAAAATGGAGTAAGCATGTTACAGTATGTCAGTAACACCTGCTACTTTCCAACCACAACGTTCTACCATCAATGTCAACACCTACTGATGGTACCAGGAGTCTTGTCAGGAATATAGAAACAAGTAAAAGTGGAAGGTATATTGATTGTGATCAGAGAAAATTTATCTTATTAATACACCTTTGATGTGTTTCAAGAATTTTTCTACTCCCACAGCCTGGACCTGGGCCAGGCTTGTCTGGTACTTGCCTGATTAAACAGGCTGCTGCTGCTGACAGCTTGCTAGCTCAAATATCCATCACAGACTGGTTGATCTGGCACCTAGTGGAGATACTTATCCAGTTTCCTCTTGAAGACTTCTATGCTTATCCCAACAGTGCTTTTGACATCTTCTAGTAAGATGTTAGATAGTTTAGGGTCATGGATGTTGATAGAATATTCTCCCATGATGCCCACAGTGCCCCTGCTTTTCACTGGGTTTATTTTGCACTTCCTCCCATATCTCTCACTCTGGTACGTCATGGCTGTGTGCAGATTTGGGAATAGACCCTCGAGTACTTTCCACACAATTAGTACTCTGAGGCATTTCAAGTAACTTAAATGATTCCTCCCATATCTCTCACTCCAATAAGTCATGGTAGAATCCAGATTTGAGATCCGACACTCCAACAATTTCCATGCATATATTATCAGGTTTCTCTCTTATCACTTCAGAAAGTGCATTCCCAGTGCTTTGAGGTATTACCAGTAGTTTCAAGATTTCTTGCCATCTATGCAGATGGCAGCAACCTCTATACACATTCCAGCTGATATCTTTCCTGCCTTGAAAGGTCCTGTGAATACAGAATATTCGAGATATGATGGCACAACTAATGTGAATATCGCAGTACTAAGTGATAGGTCATCTGACAACATTATTCTTAAGTCTTTTACCTGCTCCTTTCCTTCAACAAAATAGTGTTCTGTATTTTGTGAATGTTTTGATGGCATCAATCTTTCCGTATCTAAGCAATTGGAAATGGTCACCAATGAACATCATGTTCTTGTCCTTTGCCCACTGGAACACATTATTGATATATGTAATTTTTCTATCTTTACCAAGGAAACTTTCATGCTGATTTTGATACTATTCACTAAGGATGATACAAAGCTGTAGCTAGTATTCAACTACCTAGGTATGCTGAGGAAGAGAAATGGTAAAGGTACCAGGACTGTGTCCTGAGACACTTAATTTTTTTGCTTTGTCAAGACAAGATTATTTTGTTTAACTGTCATTTTGTGTTCTGTTTATTTGAAATATGAATATCCTTTTCCTGTTATATCTACTGACTTCATTAAACAGGCTAGTCCTCCATGATCAAACTTGTCAAGGTGACAAGTTAAAGTTTTCAATAATTTGCCTGCTAATGAAATCATGCAAATACTGCTACACCTTGTTTCGTAAAAGTAGATATCACATTCACCATCTTCCAAATCTCTACCACAATGCCCATTTGCAATTATTTATGAAGGAAACTAGTTAACGATTTGGAGAAGTACCTTTTCATATTCTTTAAAAACTCCTAGACAGCTCTTTTAGGGGTCCAGTACTTGCTTGGCTTTAACCTGTCTATTTGTTTGAGAACCATGTCACAAGCAACTTATTCTGCACGCTGTTTTCACTGGGTCTTTTTTTTTTTTTTTTTTTTTTTTTTAGCAAACCAGTCCTCTCCCACCGAGGAAGTGTGACCCAAAAAAGAAGACACACTTTCACTACCGCTCACTCCATCACTGTCTTGCCAGAGAATTGCTGACACTACAACTCAGATACCCCTCCAAACTGCAATATCCCTACCCCTCCTTCAGAGTGCAGGCACTGTACTTCTCACCTCCAGGACTCAGTCCAGCTAACCAGTTTCCCTGAATCCATTCATAAATGATACCTTGCTCACACTCCAACAGCACTGGGTGTGAACAAGTTCCTCTATAATTATTAATTTTTGAAATTTTATTTTATCTTCTTGCTAAGCAAAACTGATTAGTACCTTAGTTACAACAGTCTCAACTCTGAGTATTATCTCAGCTGGAATTAAAACCCCCCCATTAGGTATTTCTGTTAGGTAATTACTATTCATGCAAATGCAAATTCAAATCCTAGTTCCGGCTAGACTGAGCGAGTCTGAGATGTATCAAGGGTAAAAACTGACATCAAATAATTCCACATGGCATACATTCTGAGACACTGTAAGACTATCTTTGAGCAAGTATTTCAAAAGCTATCTCAATGATGTAAATAAAACTAGCACTGATGTTATTAAACAATACATGTACAGCACTTTCTAAATATATTAACCTCTGAACAAACTGTTAACTTGTTTCAACAGCAATGATTTATAAGAACAAATGGTACATATAACAATATTTTTTAATTGAAACCAATAGATAAATTAATCCTCCATGGGGAAGTGGAACAGAATTCTTCCTCCGTAAGCCATGCGTGTTGTAAGAGGCGACTAAAATGCCGGGAGCAAGGAGCTAGTAACCCCTTCTCCTGTATATATTACTAAATGTAAAAGGAGAAACTTTCGTTTTTCCTTTTGGGCCACCCCGCCTCGGTGGGATACGGCCGGTGTGTTGAAAGAAGAAAGAAGATAAATTAATAAACACACCTGTGCTGTTAGGACATAAACGTGCCAGTAGATCAAAGCGGATGTCTCGTTCAACAGACATGGATTTAGCATGGATTTTGAAGATGTGGGCCCTTCCTTCTAGATCAGGTAGACCAAATTCTACTTTACGATCCAAACGTCCAGGTCTCATGAGAGCAGGATCAAGAGTATCCGGTCGATTAGTTGCCATCAGAACCTATTGATAACAATTAGACATATTTAATCCTTAAACTGTCCAAACGTAGATCTACGTTTGCGTGTAGCACTCCAAACTTGATTTTCTCCATAAGAAATAACGTAAAAAAAAACGTAGATCTACGTTCGGAACGCTATGTGAGCAAACGTAGATCTACGTTTGGACAGTTTAAGGGTTAAGAAGCATACAATAATTAAAAATAAAACATCATCAACTGTATTATACAGAAAATTTTATTCAATCTCTTAACTCTCAAATCCATATTTCTTGTTTAATTTTTTTAAACTTTTCATTTCCAACAAGCTAAGGTGGTCCAAAGAAAAAAAAATCACTCATTCTCTAGTTGCCAATCTAGACGGGAGCATACGACTTGTGCAACCTGGTTTACAAAGTTCCTTCAGATATCAAATTTCTATTGCTCTAGTAGGTCATCAAATCCCACAGATCACTTTCCTCCACTTTAGTCTAACATGCTCCCATAAGAAAAACAAACCACACAATGGGTCGGGTTTCAACTCATGGCGAGTCCTAAAACTCACAGGCTAGTGTGTAAGCCACTGGGCCAGCTGGCCAAGTTCAAATGCCACCTGTTCTCATAGTAAAAATATTTGATTTTTTATAGTCCAGAGGACAAGTAAAGCCCTCCCCAGCAACCCCCAGTCTGTTTTATGGGTTTTTAATAAGTCTGATTCAGTTATAATTGAATAAGACCTATTGAATACCAATAATTATTCAAACACTGTAAACCATGAACAATCTTTCCTGGTTATACACTAACTGAGAAATGAGGAAATCTTCTATTTTTTTGTGAATAAGAATTCAAAATGGAAAGCAAGTGCAATACAGCCTCTCCACACCTAACGACGGAGTTCCATTCTTAAGACCACGTCGGTAAATGAATTCGTCGCTAAGTGAGGAGCATACTACGTATAATGGTAGTGGGTTTGTGTTAACCATCTTTGATATTGTTTTAATGTCACCTTTCCACCATTTATAACATTTCTGGCATATTTTTAAATGTTTATACAGTAGAGTACTGTATATTGTAATCAACAGAATAGAGGTAATCAGTTCTAATATACATTATTTAGGCATGCATACTGGTCAGAGAGCTCGTCGTAAGTCCGAGTCATCGGTAAATGAGTATGGTAGATAAGACACATAGGCAACATTCAGGCAACTTTATTCCGAAACGTTTCGCCTACATAGGCAACATGTGCCTATGTGTCTTATCTACTAACCAGTCGGTGTTGTATACCATTTGATAATTACTATGTCAGACACTGCAACACAATGGCATCTTGGTACAGAAGAGAAAACACCTTGGACAACTTTTTCAAGTGAGAACTGTTTGATCTGAGAGGGACATGACCTCTCAGAGGCTACATTCTCACTACTACTACTCTGCGACATGACCTCTCAGAGGCTACATTCTCACTACTACTACTCTGCACCTCTCCTTCCGACAGTATTTAAGTCTCAACACTCACTTGATCTTCAGTTAGTTCCAGACTTTGGAACAGAACTTCTCCAGGCTGAGGGACTGACAACTTCAAATCTATAACTTTAAGGGTGATGGACTGATTACATCGTCTTCATATCTCTACTGCTCCCGCCTACTTTCTGTACTCGACTGAAGAAGCCTACTGTGTAGGCGAAATGTTTCGGAATAAAGTTGCCTAAATGTTGCCTGTGTGTCTTATCTACCAACCTGTCGGTATTGTATACCATTTGATAATTACTCTGGTAAATGAGTATGTCGTTAAGTGAGGAGAGGCTGTATAGGAGAGGCCTGGGGACATGACTAATAAACAGTGGAAATGGTTTTTTTTAGTGCCAGGAATATCTACATTGGTTATTATAGACCATTTTAAAGTGATATTTTTTTAAATGTGTGTGAAACTGGTCAAATTACTGAATTCTGATCACTTTGTAGGGGAGATGAAATAGTTAACCCTTTCAGGGTTTTCGATGTACAGTACTAGTACGCCTAAATTCTAGTGCCCTCAAATCTAGCGAGAGAAAGCTGGTAGGCCTACATATGAAAGAATGGGTCTATGTGGTCAGTGTGCGCAGTATAAAAAAAATCCTGCAGCACACAGTGCATAATAAAAAAAACTTTGACCGTGTTTTTGCATTAAAACATCGGCTTTGCACTGTATTTTCGTATGGTATTTATGGTTGTATTCTAGTTTTCCTGGTCTCATTTTATAGAATGGAAGACATATTACAGAAATTGAGATGATTTTGACTGGTTTCACAGTGAAAAGTACCTTGAAATTGAGCTCAAAGTAGCACAAATGTTCGATTTTTACCAAAGTTCAAAAGTAATCAAATCATACCAAGTGTCCAATACACATAAACTGGCGAGTCTAATATTCTTTCACAAGTGCGCTGACATTATTTATACCATTTCTACACTAATGCAGTAGTCTACATAACAGTAAATCTTCTATTTTTTGTAAGAAAAATTCAAAGTGGAAAGCCAAAGAAATATAAGAGGGGCCTGGCGACATGACTAACGAACAGAGAACTTGTTATCTTAGTGCTAGGAATGTCTTTCTTGTTTATTCTGGACCCTATTTGGAAATTGGCATTTTCTGAAATTTGTGTGAAATTGGCAAAATTGCCAATTTCTAACCACTTTATTGGATAGTTGAAATTGGTAAATGGGTGGTTTCTTGTACTCATTCAATAGAAAAAATGGAGTTCTAGCGAAATAAATATGATTTCTGTCGACTAGTCCACAAGAATTGGCCAAAAATAGGGCTCAAAGTGGGCGGAATCGCCGATGCGTAAACATCGGTGAGACCGCTAACTTCACGAGAGCATAATTCCTTAAGTTTTCCATCAAATTTCATACTTTTGGTGTTATTATGACCAGGAAAAGATTCTCTATCATTTCAATAGAAATTTTTTTTTTTCCGAAAAATTTTCGACCCCGAGAACAAGTTTAGGAGAGGGCCTCTCGACCCTGAAAGGGTTAAATTGTCAGTTTTTTATGCTCAATTCATAGAATGTAAGGCATACTAACCAAATAGCTAAGAATATGGCTGACTGGAACAATGAAATTGACCCAAAATAGGACTCAAAAAGGGTATAAATTGTCGAGATCACTAGCTTTGTGTCAGTATAATTAAGTGTTCCATTAAATTTCATACTTTTGGTGTCATTACCTTTCAGAATTTTTTTTTTTTGTTTTCTTTTCAGAAAATTTTTGGGCATTGAGAGCAAGTTTCATTCTAGGGGTCTGGAGAATGAAAGGGTTAAAAGTTATTGTATCATATTTGCATAAGGCATCTATCCTGCAATTTGTATTAGTCCTTTTGCATGTATTAAGGTAAACAGAACTGGGCATATGAGATACAGTGATACTTTCCCAGATCACTTAGTAACCATAATTTTTTTTCCAATACCAGCTGACTCCCAAAGAAAGAAATATCCACCATCATTCATTCAATAACTGGGCTTATTTATAAAACTAGGTAGTAGGTTGGTAGACAGCAACCACCCAGGGAGGTACTACCGTTCTGCCAAGTGAGTGTAAAACGAAAGCCTGTAATTATTTTACATGATGGTAGGATTGCTGGTGTCTTTTGTCTGTCTCATAAATATGCAAGATTACAGGTACGTCTTGCTACTTCTACTTACACTTAGGTTACACTAAACTTACATATACACGTTTATTTATACACACTCATCTGAGTTTTCTTTGATTTTATCTTAGTTCTTGTTCTAATTTCTTTAACTTTTATGTCCATGGGGAAGTGAAATAAGAATCTTTCCTCCGCAAGTCATGCGTGTTGTAAAAGTCAACTAAAATGCCGGGAACAATGGGCTAGTAACCCCTATTCCTGTAATAATTACTAAAAAGAATAAGAAGAAGAAAATTGTCAAAGTGGGAAGTCTGAATGTGCGTGGATGTTGTGCGAATGATAAGAAAGAGATGATTGTGGATGTTATGAATGAGAAGAAGCTGGATGTCCTGGCTTTAAGTGAAACAAAGCTGAAGGGGTTGGGTGAGTTTCAGTGGAGAGGAATAAATGGGATTAGGTCAGGGGTTTCTAATAGAGTTAGAGCTAAAGAAGGAGTAGCAATAATGTTGAAGGATAAGCTATGGCAGGAAAAGAGGGACTATAAATGTATTAATTCAAGGATTATGTGGAGTAAAATAAAGGGTGGATGTGAGAAGTGGGTTATAGTAAGCGTATATGCACCTGGGGAAGAGAGAAGTATAGAGGAGAGAGAGAGATTTTGGGAAATGTTGAGTGAATGTGTGGGGAGTTTTGAATCAAGTGTGAGAGTACTTGTGGTTGGAGATTTTAATGCTAAAGTGGGTAAAAATGTTGTGGTGGGAGTAGTAGGTAAATTTGGGGTGCCAGGGGTAAATGAAAATAGGGAGCCTTTAATTGAGCTATATGTAGAAAGAGGTTTGGTAATAAGTAATACATATTTTATGAAAAAGAGGCTAAATAAATATACAAGGTATGAAGTACCACGTAATGAAAGTAGTTTGTCAAATAATGTATTGGTGGATAAAAGGTCGATGGGTAGGCTCCAGGATGTACACGTTTATAGAGGGGCAACTGATATATTGGATCATTATCTAGTTGTAGCTACAGTTAGAGTAAGAGGTAGATTGGATAAGAGGAAAATGGCAACAACAAGTAAGAGGGAGGTGAAAGTGTATAAACTAAGGGAGGAGGAAGTTCGGGTGAAATATAAGCAACTATTGGCAGAAAGGTGGTCTGGTGCAGCTATGAGTAATGAGGGGGGGGGGGGAGGGGTTGAAGAGGGTTGGAATAGTTTTAAAAATGCAATATTAGAATGTGGAGCAGAAGTTTGTGGTTATAGGAGGGTGGGTGCAGGAGGAAAGATGAGTGATTGGTGGAATGATGAAGTAAAGGGTGTGATAAAAGAGAAAAAGGTAGCTTACGAGAGGTACAGTGGAACCTCAAAAATCAAATGTATCACATATCGAACGTTTTGAAAATACTAGG